TTTTAAGACAAATACTTTTGAAAACTACAGATATTTTATGTCGATTAATTTTATTGATCGTCTTTTCCAAATTACAAATAATCCTCAAACTAGGAGGAAATTCCGTCAAGATTTGTCCAAAGTTTATTTCGGAAGAAAAAAGTCAAAATAAACGTATTTCAAGCTTTCGACTTTCTAAAATCATCATCAGGGTAGGTATAGACAAATTAAATTTGAGACTAATAACATTTTTGAAATGGTGTCGTAACGCAATTTTTTCTGAAATAAGCTGTTATTGTTTAAACGTTAGAAGTCATTTGTTGAAAGCGTTTAGAGCGCAGTTTTGAATTTGAAATCGTATAACCAATGAATGTTGTGACGAAGGCACATCACTCATTCCTACCATTTGTAGCTCTTAGCAATGTCTATCTTTTTACGATATCTGCCATTCCTTGTTCTTCTATTTATACACCTAAGCTCGTTAGGGATGTTATTTGTTATTTCCCTCTGCACTTTTTGTCTTCAATACATCCTGTGAATATCACATTCTCCAAACTGTCTTTTCTCAGAATGTATCTCTTCTGCATGCTTCTGTAAGACCAGAACTCTGTCAAGGTTCCGCTTCATTTGTGGGGAGATTGTTTAACATTCACTGCCACTGAATACGATTACGTAACATTTCAGCACGGTTTTCTTTGTTTCTGATAATATTTTCCTGTTTCTTAATACATCGCTTAGGTTTTTGAAAGGCATCTTTTTTGTTATATAAATGCGCGTCCATAGTTCGTTAGCTCCTTTTCGCCATTTGTTAAAATGCTTCCCAGACAATTAGACTTCTGTATGTGCTTGATCTTGACGTCTACCAATTTGTAGCTCGCATCTTCGGTTATCCATTTTGCTGACAAGCATACATTCTATCTTTTTATGCGATACAGTTAATTTTTTCGATATTTTCTTGATCATTTTACCACAAAGTCAATAAAGCCACTAAGTTACAAGGAGTTACTAAGTATCTGTCTAAAAAATAGTTGCTGAAGACATTAGGTTTATAATACCCAGAAATTCATACACAGGGATACATGGCTCAGTGGATAAAGGCGTTGGTTAGATCCAGTGACAGGACCTAAAGAGTGTGAGTTCAATATCCGGTTAAGGCAGTGGAGAACTTTCAGAGGGGAATTAACAGGTGATAACTGATATCAATTATAACATGGCACGTGGAACTAGAACAGTCTACCCCAGTGAGCGAAATAAAGGGTTCAGTTTGACATTCCAACCACCTGAACGGCCGTAACGTTGTAATAAATATGGCGACAAAGATGACGACAATAGATGAGCAAGACAAAGGAATTCAGAAGATAATGATTGTCTGGGTACCATAGAGGAAAGTTCATCAAAACAATTACTATGAAAGTATTTATAGAAAAGGCATAGGGAACCTCATTACAACATTAAAAAGGTAACTGAAGGCGAGACGCCAGGTCATAATATTGCTTTTTTCTATTTTGGATTTTACAAGAATCTCTTACACCAGGAACATCAGACCATATGTGGCTGCAATACTCTAAGCATGGACGAAGAGTAAACTTATAAATATGTAAGGTAGATTCTGGAGCGTCAAATTGTCTTTCATGACACAGTGAACCAACTTTCCTAAGAGTAGACCTAACAATATTAGCTAAAACTGGCAGGATGGGAGCGATTATTCCAAATCTTAGTTTAGCACAAGACTACAAGTAGGGAGCACACAGTGAGAATCAGTCTCATTGTAATGGATTCAATAGTAGAAGCCCGCTTACAATAGCTGTTACCTAACTGGCATATGTCAAAACGCTCAACTGGAAAGAAAAAAAAGTTTTTGTTTTATAAGAATACCTGACATGCAAAACTTTTGTTCTTCAAGCGAACAAAGACCGAAACATGTTCAGACATTTAGAATAGCACCTGTTTATTTCAATTCACGCTTTTTAATTTTCAAGTCGGGAACATCGTAACAATATAATGTGTTGTGTCCTTTGTACCTTCTCCTGACCGCTGGACCGTGATAATTTGCAAAGAAGCTCATGTGCATGTCCCTTTGTGTTGGTGTATCTATAACATAACGCAGGTGGTATTGTGTATGAAAGAAAAAAAAAAGGTAAAAAGGTGTCTACTTTGATATGAGAAAATTACATTGAAGAAAGACAAGGCCAATGATATTTATGAAAACAACAGATGTGTTGCCTAAGAAGATAAATTAGTTTCATTATTAAAAAAAAAAGAAGTTATTAGCCCTGTCGGCTGGGGTTTCAGAATACGCCGATTGCAATTCTGCAGAAGGCTAAGACAAACACCCCACCCACCCCCACCCCAAATAAAGACGTCCCGGGTAAGACGATAAACTACTTCTAATAGCAAGACTTCTGATCAGAAGGTTTTGAGGAGCGTGGAACCACTTCTTAATTGCTGGTGGTAGAACCTGTTAGGATCCCAGCTATGAGCAAATAGTTAACCCCTAAAATGGGGTCAAAACATTATGAAAGTGTAGAAATAAGTTTTAATACCTGCAATATATTTTGGGGAAAAAAATATTACCAATAATGAATTTTTGAAGAAAAAATCATTACCAGCTATACATTTTTGAAGGAAAAAACATATTTGCAGCAATTCATTTTTGAAAAAAACAATATTACTAGCAATAAAAAATCTTGTCGGCATTAAATAACCCATTGATATTGATTTGCCGTAAAACAAAATAAACCAAACCAAACCAAACCAAACCAAAAAGTTATTGTATTTCCCGCCATATATGATGCATTTATTTTTTTTAAAAAAATCATCCAAAAAATCATCATTAGTTTTATACACCGAGGGTTATTGGCAATAGATAATCAACTAAACATCCCTTGTTTAAAACACTCGTTCCATATGAACAAAAGATTACAATATATTAGTATAATTTTTCCCCTGGTGCCCCGACTGCATGAATTTAAGTGTGCTACTAGATTGGCATCTAGGTCCCACGCTCTTACTGTTGAAATAGCTAAATGCCACCGCCACTTCTATCTCCAAAATTTTATTTTCTCGTACTTGCCACCTGTGGAACTCCCTTCTGTTTACTTGCTTCCCTGATAATTACAATTTTCAAAAATTTAAATGCAACGTCAATCGCTATCTTTTATCTTCTTGAATCCCGTCCATCATTTGTCCTTTCCTCAGTCCTTCCTAGACTCATTCTTTTCTCTCACTTTCACACCATGTAACCACCTACCTACTAGTGGCATTCCCGTCTTGCTTTATTAAAAAAAATTATTAAATAATCGCTACAAATTAAAATAATGTTAAAATAAAAACAGTATTAGACTGATAACTAAAAACCGCTGTTAGGTCACACTAGTATCCCATATGAATCAAAAATAAAATATGTATGATTATAAATGATTTTAATTTTTTGTTATTATTATTATTATTATTTGACTTTGATTTCTGGCGTTTACACATTTCTTTCCGGGTCCCGCCCAGGGACCTAAGGTTAGAAATGGCGACGTGATACTTTCCACTGACGAAAAAAAAAAAAAAAAAAAAAAATTACATAGATAAAGCCCTTCGTAAAGTGTGGGCTGTACTTGTCAGAACAATTTTTTCTATCTCCTTGAGGCATGGACTTCCTCCATATTTGGTATGTTTGATTGGTGGTGTTCTTTGCTGGGTTTTCGAATGCAGTGAAGAAGGATGTCATGACTTGTCGATACTCTTCGCGGCTCCATTTCGTTCGTTTACATTTTATTAGTCGATTTAATACCAAATCGACTAATAAAATGTAAACGAACGAAATGAGACACTTGGTCCAAGGTTGGAAATAATCCGGGTTTGGTGACCAAGTGTCTTTTCGTGTGTGGAAGAGTTTGTTCCAGTGACAGACTTTTCGTCCTCAGACTGGTTCCTCTCTGAGGGACGCGGCCCTTGTTGTCCCGGTTGACGGCCGATCCGGTATGAAATATTATTCGTATTCATTGAAATTAGTAGAGATGCGTTTTAACCTTGACCGCCAAGGGGTAATTATGTTCAGGTTACCAGCTTTAGGAGGAGTCTCGAAGAAGATCCAAGAGCACGCCCAAACAATGAGATTGTGGATTTATTATTATTATTTTTATTTTATTTGATTTCTGGCGTTTACACATTTCTTTCCGGGTCCCGCCCAGGGACCTAAGGTTAGAAATGGCATCATGACACTTTCCACTCACAAAAAAAAAAAAATAAAATAAAATAAAATAAAATAAGATAAAATAAAAATAAATAAAAAATATTACATAGATAAAGCCCTTCGTAAAGTGTGGGCTGTACTTGTCAGAACATTTTTTTGTATTTCTTTGAGGCATGGACTTCCAGGAATCCCTTCAATTAGTCTACTGCAATCTTTTCCAACCATTCCTAGGGCTCCAACTACAACAGGGATTGTTGATGTTCCCATATGCCACATTTTCAAGATTTCTATTTCAAGGTCATTGTATTTTGACAGATTTTTGAATATCTTCAAAGATACATTATTATTATAATTATTATTATTAGTTTTAACATTACCATTATTATTATCATTATTTCCATTATTACCATTATTATTATTATTATTATTATTATTGGTTCTTATCCTGATAAATGCCGAGTCTTTATGACCTAACAGAACAAAAAAAGGAGGCCAGTTATACGGTGACGACGAAAAAAGTTTCGAGTTATAATTCTCACAAATAAAGAAAAGTCACACAGTTCAGATATTGTTTTTTTTATTTCTTTTCCTTTTCTTTTCTTTGTTTTTTTGTCTGCATTTGAAGTTGTAAAAATGGCGGTAAAAGACTGTAGCCCAATTTCCGACAGATTCAGCAACCAAGCATAACAAGACATAAAATGAAATTAAAGACTTTTCATCTCAGAAACTCAAACCTTTATCATTCAATTAGATGTTTATCTAACATGGTATGACACGCATCAACTACTTTTAAAAGATACTCCATTCACTACAGGTTTAGGCCTAGAGCTATCATCAGAACATAACGACTAGAAACATTCAATCACTAAGTAGTGTTCATTTCGAGCACTATTACTCAATATCAACTTTTAAAATATCTATCTATCTATCTATCTATCTATCTGTCTATATATATATATATATATATATTTATATATATATATATAATGAAATATAGTCATAATGTGTGCTATATTTATGGTATAAAGTGCTCAATATCAGAGATAGAGCGTGTGTAAATATAAAAGTGAACATTGAAGGCAACACTCAGAGGCTGTTTCATTATAGACGCTATCGTCAGGCCACGTGTATTGTTTTTTTTTTCTCGGCTATTTATATTTACAGGTCAGTGGTGCATTGTGTGTAGTCTATTTTGGCGGCTATTTTGCCGGAAGTCGTTTATTTGTTTATTTATTTATTTGGGTTAATTTATTTTGCTAATTTTTATTTTTAATTTTTATTATCTTACATACTTATTTATTTATTTTTTATTTAAATCGGTGTTCTATTAACGTAGTAAAAATTTGTTTATATCGTTTATTTAATAGTTTTGTTTTCGTTTGGGAAGATAAACCTATTTATTCAATTTGGGGGTTGATTGTTGTAGTTTATTCTAACTATAATTTTGGCGGGAGCAGTTTTTAATTTGTTTACTACTCCATTTATTTATTTGGTTTGATTATCTTTACTTGTTTTTTTCTAACGTTTAATTTATCGGGACCATTTTGTTAGTTTCTTTATTTATTTTGATTAATTTAGATTAATTTATTTTGCTTGTTTTTTTGTTATTTATTTATTATACTGTATATTTTATATACTCTACTTTATATTTTTATTTAGTCTTTTCGGTTTTCGATTTTTAAGTAACGTAGTAGTTTTTTATCGTTATATAACACTTATAGCTATGTTTTTCGTCCGATTTTTGGTTTGATATTTACAGTCTAATATTTTGGCCATATTGGCTTGTTAATTTGTTTATTATTTACTTTATTTATTTGGGTTCATTGATTTTGTTTTTTATTTTTATTTTTTTATTCGATTTCGTCTTTTCTAACGGGTGTGATTTGCTAATTTGTTTGGGTTTATTTCTTTTACTTATTTTATTGTTATTTTGTTTATTTATTTATTTTATTTATTTATTTTATTTTTTTCCTCAGTTTTCGTTTTTAAGTAACGTAGTAAAAATTTGTTTTCATGTCTGCATTTTGAGATTAGCTCGGATATTTTATGTAATAATTTATTTTGGTCTGGGAAGGTAATGATAGTGATTTTTTCCTTCAAGCAAAGTTTGCAAGTTTTGGATTGTTGTAGGCTGATGATCTTTTCCTTATTTTCCAAGATATTTTTGGTGTGATGTGCGTTTTGTTTTTAATTTCCCAGATATACTTAGAAAGCACAATACGCGAACAGTGTTGTATTAGTAAGAGTCTATGAGTTTACAGGCCTTTTGCTCACTACTGATCATGAAAATTGATACGCTCTATCCCAGAAATTGTAACTAAGGTTCAATCAGCATAGTTTCAGTATAAACGTCAAGTTAGCTCTGTGGATGCTGAACAAGCAAAAATGAGTCTAGACAGGTGTCTGTCACAGGGATTGGCTAGTCGTCCTATCAGAATGGTGTGCTCGAAAGAAGAGGGTAGCTGGCCATTATATGGAGAAAAAAATGTTCATTCTTGAAACCATTTTTGTTTCTGCCTGTGACGAAGCTACGCCATTTCTCATTTGTTTTTTTTTTCTTTTACTAATAATATTTGAATGGAATATTTACATTTAAAAACTAACAAAAGACGATAGAATTTTTGACAACCATTTTTAAGCCTCAGAATAATTTACAAGTTTTTGAAAAAAAACAGTGGCGTAGATTAACATTTTGGCAAGATCCGACAGCTGCACTCTCAATAATCCCCGGCTAAGTAATTTCCTTTCTTTTTAATAAATATGGCTGACATGTTTAAATCTACCCCTCTCTATCTCTCTCACACACGCGCACACACGCACACTATATATATATATATATATATATATATATATATATATATATATAGAAAGAGAGAGAGATTTAAACATGCCAGCAACATTTATTAAAAGAAAAAGTAAATTACTCTTTAAAGAGAAAGAAATTCTCTCTCTCACACACGCATACATACTATATATATATATATATATATATGGTAAAAATATTAGGGCTTGCTGAAATGTTCTTGGCTTGACCCTCTTTACAAATTCTGATCCAGTGGAAGACACGAACAAGCGACACATCGTTGAATAAGACTGATAAATATTAACTGATATGAGTTATATCCTCTGAGCGTAGAAAGCGGAATAAAGACAATCGACTTCCATTGATTTAATAAAGTGTTCAGTTCGAAAAACTCTATAGATCATCAAGTACGATGACAGTCACCTGAAGAAGGTCGTATGGTACAACCTCCGAAAAGTTATTAATGTAAAGAAACATTTAAAAAAATAAGAAATAAAAGTTCATTTAGACTATTCAGTTTGTAACAAACAGTTTTATTTTGCTCTTTCGTAGATACTTTATGCCACTTTCAAAAGGAAAATAAAATTAGAGCCGTTTTTTTAAAATACTTTACACTCGACGAGCTGGCCTAAATAATAATTTATAGTTTTAAGACGTTAAAATTTCAGTAGTAATTTGTACCGGTTATGTGATATTGTTATTAAGTAAAAACTATACTTGTCATAAAGGAAAAAACTTATTACAATTCAGCGACACCAATAGTTTGTGTGTATAAACTTACCGTCCATACACGACATTATCGGAAACTAAAAGCGATAACTATAGTAAATTTAAAGCCAAAGTACCTAAAATTCAATAAAACTTTAGATTATATTACGGAGAATAATTGTCTGTTAGTCAATATTTCTTCACCTACATCCGATAATTTAAACTTTAAGTAAGTAAGTAATATTTATTTAAAATCAGATTAATTAAACTTGAAATAAGCTATTTTTCAAATAAAGTTTATTTTATTATTGAAAGGTTTTTAATAAAAAGAATTTCATTGCGATGACAGATGCCTAAAAATGACACTAGAACCAGCGTCTTTTACTGATTTCAAAAGAAAAACAAACTTCTACCAGTCAATTTAAATTAGTTTTAAAATACAGTAAAGTGTTTTGCTTATTGTAAATATTAAATTTAAACTATTAGCTTGAAATTAAAACTAAAATATAACCTTCAAGAAACATTTTTCATTTTAAAAAATATTTTAAACTTAAGGTAGCGGGTAAATGACTGAGAGCAGACACAGAAAATAAAATTAAAAAATTCTCCTACAGAAGGTAGCAAGGGAGAGCGCGAAAAATGGACTAAGCATAAAATACAAGAAGACAATGCATGATCATCAGTAAAAGGATGAGCCCGAAATGCGATTTACAGGTCGAGAACACTAAAATCTAGCAGGTTCGGAAATTTAAATATCTGGGAAGTGTTTTGACAGAGGACGGTAAGTGCGATGCTGAGATCCAAAGACGTGTTGGGATGTCCAAAGATGCAGTCGAAAAGCTAGGCAGAGTATTACAAGCCAGGAGGATTTCGTTGGTAACAAAGAAAAGAGTGCTGAACTGCTACATGGCTTCTGTCTTCCTTTACGGCATCGAATATTGGACAATCTCCTGAACGATGAAGAATAGTCTCGAGGCAACGGAGGTATGGTTCTACAGAAGGATGCTAAGGATATCATGGACCGAGAGTATGAGCAACGATGAGGTTTTGAAGAGGATACAAACAAGGAGAAAGCGTATACTTAACATCAGGAAGAAACGGATGAAATTTTTCGGACACGTAATGAGAAAGTATGGCTTGGAGAATTTGATACTCACAGGTCGAATAGAGGGAAAGAGAGACAAGGGAAAGTAACGCATAATATACCTGACGGGCTTAAGCAAGTGGATGACAGAATATGTCCTGGGGGAAATTGCAAAGGGACAAAACTTATCGAAAGCTACAAGAGATAGGAGGAAGTGGAAGGTCATGATCGCCTACATCCTTAAGGAACACATCACATAAAAGGAAAGGTGTAGCTACTATAATGTATATACATTTTGTGTGTGCGTATTTTTATGTGTGCATGTATGTACATATATCTGCACACTACTCCTGCAACAATCACCATCATCTCCAAAGAAAAAAAAAAGTTTTTATTTGTATCAAGCACGGACATCTTTTCCCTTCGTCTCTGGCAAGCCTATTTATAGACGAGCGTCAGAAAAGAGGAATAAAATGATCGCTCGCTGCTTATCGTCAATAAAAAAGCGTTCCATTGACAACATGGCGCCATAATTACAGACCAGAACTTTGGTAACCAATGGTAACATATGAATGCTCATTTCCCTGCTTCTAGTGTCACGTCATTGTTTCCTGTTCCCAGATTAGGTTATCGGTCACTTGGCAACCTGTTCTTTAGGCGTTTGAACCTAATGATTATTCTTTATTTGTGCCTTCAGGACGTGGGCGGTAGTGGCTCTCCATTACTTCCAATCTTTCCTTACTATCTCTCTCAGTCCATCTCATACTATCCATTTACATAAACTGCTATTCATGGGAGTGTCAGTTTTTCAAACCCCTCTTTCCTCATTATTTACCAGAGAAATTGCTAGTATCTTTTCCTGTTTCTAATAAAAAGGTCCATTATGTTTCAATTTTCCTTTGCTGCTCACGCGTTCAGTTCATACTTCATTCCCATCATCTTTCTGTAGAATCATATCTCTTTTGTCTCCTCTTCATTCGTGTGAAAATTGTCCAATAGTACCAGACATATTGGAGGATTGATTAGCCAGTCAATGATTGAATATTGCTACTGAACAGTAACTTTGATAATCAGTGGGGACCTCATATCTCTGAACATTTACCAAATTAGGAACACATAGCTAGACACAAGTAATCGGAAAGGAGTTCGACAAGTGGGAGGTGCGAGATAAAACTGTTAGAGTAGAAAAGAGACGTTAAACATTTATTTTTTCTTTCTTTCTTTCTCTCTTTCACTGAAACCAAGTAGCGTCTCTGATATGTTTTTTCTCTTTCCAAGCGATCAAAACAGAACAGTCCCTTATTTATTAGGTATCGACAGGGCGTAACGGTCGTGCGAACTAATAAAA